CATTCAGCAGTGTCTGGGAACATTTCAGTTGGTATGTCTGTAGGAGGGGAGTGTTATTGGCATCTAGTGGGTAGAGGCCAGACATACTGCTAAACATCCAACAGTGCACAGGACGGCCCCCCTCAACACAAAACTATCTGGTGCACAATGTCAATGGTATCCAGGGTAAGAGACTATCTACCTGAACCTGACAGAACCAGGGAAAAGGGGGGATTTCCCAGTGGAAAAATCTGGGTACAAACAGCAGAGGAAGGGATGCTCTCAGTGGTTCTCAACCTTCCTAATGCCGTGACCCATTAATGCAGTTCCTCATGTTGTGGTGACCCCCGACCATAAAATTATTTTCGTTGCTACTTCATGACTGTAATTTTACTACTGTTATGAGTCATAATGGAAACATCTGATATGCAGGATGTATTTTCACTGGTCGCAACCCACTGGTTGAGAACCTCTGGTTTAAAGCAACAGATGTCCACCATCCCCTCCATCTGAAAACAAATCCTCTGCCATATCACACACTCTCTTGTGTTCACCACCAAATTTTCTGAATCATTGCAGTCACTCATTTACTAAATAATTGCAGAAATCATTTTGAGTGTTAAGCACTGTTTTAGGTCATGGAATTTAGCAGTGATAAACTGCCATGTCCTCAGACAGCTTTTATTCTGGTGGGAGAAACACACAGTAAACAGATTATCAAATGTTAATAAAATGAAAAAAAGTACAATTTTTTAATTACATAAGGCGGGGAAAGAGAAAAGGAATTTCCAAATAGATATACAATTTTAATTTGTGGCCAAGGAAAGTTCCATTGAATAGGTCACATTTGAACAAAAGAAATCAAGGAGATGAGGTAGCTAGCCATGCAGGGTGATGTCTGGGGAAGAACATTCCAAGCAAAAGGAACATTAAGTGGAAATAAAAACTTCAGAGGAAACACACTTGCTTATTTGGAGAAATAATTTGTTTGCATGCCAATGGTAAAATTCACTAGAAAGGGGAATACAGTGTTGCTGGAAAGAAGAATTCCCAGAGTGATGTCCTTGAGCAAATGAGAGCAAAACGAATCTCGTGCACAAGTGGAGAGGCTATCCTTGGATAAAGGTGTGAACAGTTGTAGCTCTAACATGTAGAATAATTAACATATAGAAAAGACGGCCATGGAGACCAAATACAGTTATTTGGGTGGAGTGATGATAGAAGACTATTTGATTACTTCTATTATTTTCAGTGAAAAAAAAGCACAAAGGCAATAATGGAGTAAGAACAATGGAGGAAATGTCCGAGTTCAATGTCAACATAAAAATAGTCAGGTTGGACACAGTGGCTCACACTTGTAATCCTGACACCTTGGGAGGCAGAGGCAGGAGGATTGATTGAGGCCAGAATTTTGAGGCCAGCCTGAATAACATAGTGAGATCCTGTCTCTACAAGAAATGGAAAGATCAGCCATGTGTAGTGGCTCATGCCTGTAATTGCAGCTACTTTCACAGGTACGGGGCAAAATAATGGGGAACTGAATCTAACCAGGATTGCTATTTTGTCTCATGAATACGAAGCATGATAAAGGGCGAGAAGAGCAAGGGGGACTGAAGTTTTATGCAAGATGGCGATTACAATGATGCGGCATGGAATTTAGTCAGGTAAGCGAGAAAATGAAGACATGAAGGAGGTAAAAGACCAAGAGACAATGGTAGGATCATTGGGCTATGCGTACTGAGTGAGACAAAGCTTGCTGGATTCAGTTTAGGGTACTAGGAGTGAAGTAGAGGGTAGGACTGGTAGTTGGAGAGTGGGACAGTTGAAAGTATGCAGGGTGTGACAGCTTCCAGGGTATGGGCAGCTTCCAGGGTATGGGCAGCAGTATTAGCTACAGAGTAGAGTGGAGGACAAGACCATGGACAGAGAAGAGGCAAGGCAGTGAAAGGTGAGGGGTTTGAAAATGCCATTGCTGTGAATATTGAAATCACTGAGGACTGTGACAAGAGTCATGGTGGAGAAGGTGGCTCTGAACCAGGACCCAAAACCATCAAGGAATGAGGGTCAATAGCAGATCCTAGGAGATAAATGCAAACACAAGTGGTAAAAAATGGCACGTTCTGATGGCATGTGATGTAAGGATGGGGAACTGAATCTTCTCCTCTCGCCCTTTCCTCAGCTCAGTACAATCTGGCTTTTTCTCTCATTGCTCTGTTTTTGATGTATTAAAAAGGACATATGATATATGCTATGATCAGAGGAGATATTGCTTGAAAGGAGTCTTGGGAGAGAGCCTAATGGAAATCAGTGAAAAATAAACATGCCTACTCTTGAAACAGGTGGTGGTGAGGGGAGCTGAGACCGAGTAACACGGACAGATGAAGTGTTCTGGAATGCTTGTGTGAGCTAAGACAACACCTCCTGAGTGCATACTTTTACTGGACCCTGCATCCATGAGGTGCATTATTGACACTGCAGTCAGTAGAGAATAGTTTTCTTCCTTGAGCATTTTTCTTGACCGTGAATCACAGTTATACATGGAGGGAAAAAAAAAGCTAACATATTTACTAAAATATCTGTTACAATATCTTTTCAATCTTCATCCTACTTCCTTCTCCTCAGCACTTGAAATTTGAAATTACTGCACTCTCCAACTCCAGCATTAGCAAAAACGGACCAATCCATAAATCCAGGGTTTTGTCTCAGGAGCCATAGAACTCCAAAGGTCCATGACTAGAATTATATTTTCATACACATAATTTGGTTCCTTTATGCACTAAAAATGTTTTAGCCCTGAAAGGGCTAATTACAGCTCTGGGAAGGGATTCATCAGCTTGACCAGCCAGGCGAAAGAGTATACATGACACACAAAGATGTTACCACCCCCTGCATGGATGTGACTCATATATTCCAATTGTGATCTTCCTTTTGTTTATTCTATACATTCTCACTTGACAGTCTCATCAACCCTGTGATCTTGACCATATCCCATCCGTTCCCTTGTTTAAAAATCTTCTTGTGCCTTTCTGGAAGTCCAGCCTTGTAATCGACAAATTACTGTGTTCCCAACCTTTTCCTTAAGCATTCCCACACATCCTGGCTTTCACTAACCCCTCTCTGTTCCATGCCCAAGTCTTTCCCCAGTTTAAAAAACAAACAAACAAACAAAAACCTTTGTTATAAAGTAACACTCACAGGTTCTGGGAATTTGAATGTGAACATCTTTGGGTGAACACACCTCATTTCTCTCATTCTCAAATTATTTATTATTATTTTTTAAATTGACACATAATAATTGTACATGCTTATGGAACACAGCAAAGCAAACATCAGAGTAATGAGAAAACCTACAGAATGGGGGGGGGGACATATTTGCAAACTATACGTCTGACAGAGGGTTGACATTCAGAATACATAGGAACTTAAGTCAATAGCAAAAAACAAGTCTGATTTTAAAATGAGCAAAAAAAAAATCTAAACGGACAATTTTCAAAAATAGACACACAAATGGCAAACTGGCATATGAAAAAGTGCTCAACGTTAGTAATCATGAAGGAGCTATAAATCAAAATCACAGTAAGCTATCATCCGACTCCAGTTACAATAATCATTAATGAAAATAGAAGAGATAACAAATGCCAGCAGGGATGTGGAGAAAGGGGAACTTTTATACACAGTTGGTGGGACTCCAAACTAGCACAGCCACTATGGAAAATAGTATGGAGGTTTCTCCAAAAATTAAAAATC